TTCACTTGGTTGGGCGTAGTGGCTGAAGCAGGAGGATTACCATGAGTTTGAGGCCAGCCTGGGCTACAAAGTGAATTCAGTGGCAGCCTGAATTGTATAGCAAGGCCTTGGCTCCAAAAAAAAGAAAAAAAGGAAGAAATGCTTCATCTTACAGCTTAAGAAATTCAGTACGTAAAGATATAAGGCAGTCAGTCCCTGTGACACATATACACACTTCTCCAAAGACAGAAGAGGAACGTAAGCAAGTTCTGTTTTGTTTTTTCTGTGCTTTAAGAATACACAACCACATAAGCAGGGTGCCAACTTACTAGTAAGAAACAGAAGACTCATAACCAGAACCTAATTATCTATGACACACACTAACCTTTGTAGTATTAAAAGATAGTTTGACACTCATATTTTTACTTACTTCCTAAGACCAAAGATACTGCCACTAGTTTCCTCATTTTGAAGTCATGAAGATACCTCTTTTACCTCACAGAAACCTGTTAAGATGAACTCGGCTCTCCTTCCGGCATCACAGGCTTTGTTTCTGAAGGATCCGGGCATATTTAAGGCTTAGCAATCTTTCAGTTGAACACATAAGTGAATGCACTCTGTGGCCTGGATGTAAACCAAGGAAAGCAAGTGAAACTTGGACGGTTGGAATGCAGTTCGCAAAGTTCACGTTCTATAAAGGAGCAAACAACTTCCCCAGGTACTGGGGCTCAGGGATTCAGAACTGCTCTGCTTGGACAGAAAGTGAAAGATAATGAAATGAAAGTGCTCGAGATCCACGTTTTTTTAAACTTCTTGAGAGCCTAATCCAGGTGACAAATCATATATATAGATATTCTTCATTTAATGACCAGGTCCTGTTCCTGGACCATTAAATGCGTGGGTCACTAAACGAGGAGCTCTATGCAGTATGTACTGGACATTACAACAAAGAAATGGTCAAAGGAGACTTTTGCTTTTGTGTGCTAACAGAACGTAAGACTGCGGTACTGTACCATGCAATACAATCAGCAAAAGTTACACTACTGTATAAACAAGGTGTACTATAAAAAACAAAAGAGACATGGAGGCCCCGTAAATAAAATGTACAGAACTATAGGGGAAAAAGACTGGTCCTAGATCCAAGCAGCAGGTCATAAGTTCAAAGAGCCTGGCTGAGTCCTAAATCAAAACAGGTATTAAGCAGGTCGGTTGTTAAGGGGAGAATAACTGTATAGTTTGCATTCATTTATATTTACATATACAGTGATGCCACAGTTCACAAGCTTCATGTGTTTTATGATTTGGGGAACATGACTGCATTTAGGATTGTGTGGGGAAGATGTCTTGGATCCATTTGTCACCCAATGTGGAGTTTGTGAGCAGAAGCAAAATTTTGTCCAACACTT